GGTACAATATTTTATGCATATATGGAGAAACGAATAGCCTACGTAGCCAACCACATGTTAGTTCAAAGGTATGACAACTTTGAATAGGTACTTAAAGACCAAACTTCTCGACCATGTTATTCGTCTCGATCGTGTTATTTTTTCGACGCCAACCAGTAAGTTTTTTTTCTATGGACTTTTGTCACGGGAAAATCCAACTCAGTACTTCATGGGGTAAAATGTATAAACATATCCCTCTTCTAAAAAATACCATCTGGAATCATTTCACAAGCCGATGTGCTCGTGACACCTCAAGAATCCCAAAACGAGCCCATTCAAAGGGCGTGGCCCCTTAAAAGGCGTCACGTTAAGACACAGTCATTAACTTATAATATGACGGAATAATTATTCCTTTTCCGCGATGCAATGCGCAAGCCGAACGGCGAGCGCGCGGACGAAAGCGAAAGCCCTGACCATGAAAGGCTCGGCCTTGCGGCAACATCACGAGTTGTGATTTGACCCAACGCTGCACGGCTGGTCCCATTCATGTGGCGCGGGGACCGAGTGAGATCAGGACGTGTTATCAATTCGTAATTAACTCAGGAAACCCCTGTTTCATAGAAAGAGAAATTTCAAGACCATTCCTACCATTTATCTACTGATAAATCTGCAGCAGTTGGCTTTATTTACGTTTTCTTCCTCTTTATAATTAAAAGAAACAGAATACACGATTTTAGATTATCCACAGCAAAAAAATATTATGGATTGGAAGTGCCCAAGGCGGCTGTGAGTGCCCCGATTCTAAATAAAATTCCAAATGATGGAAACTTAGGATAAGAAAATCGTAGAAGCATCTTCCTCGTATGGGTACTAGACCTACCATTGCCCACCTAAGGACGATCTTAAGTTACGTAGCTAACATTAGAGCTACAACTACAATTTGCCTGCAGAATTATTCCAGTTTGATATTTAATAGAATTGTTTAAGCGAACAAGCGTTATGTAGTTTTTCCAGCTAGGAAAAAATATCGAATACTAAAATCAATCATAAGCAGGATATTACAAAGCTTTAAAACCCACTCTTAAACGAAGGCAAAATGTTAACCAATCAAGAACTCTACCCAACTTTTTCCAATGAGATTGATAATAGAGAGGGCAACCTGACGAAAATTTGACAAGAGGGTAATTTCACGAACAAGATCTGACCCTATTGATTGGGTCATCTTATGAAGAATCTCCTCAACCTGCTAGGTGAAGCAGGTTGTGGATTAAAACAAGTCTTTGAGCGCAGAAAATAATTTCACCGACCTTTACCATCAAAATGACCAGAAGAGTGTTACCGGACATTTTGCACCATTTAGACAATTTCTGATGATCTGGAGCCATAGATGTGTCATTTTACTAATCTGGCAATCTAGGGCCTACGGTGTAGCAAGGTGTACAATCAATTAGTGTAAGTTTGTTTCTCCGAATTCTAGTACCATAAGCAGGATGTAGCAAATTCCAAGAACCGCTTTCGTACGAAAAACAATTTCACCAATCAAGCATTTCACCGATCTCTTCACACACTGACAAGAAGATATACAGTAGTAACCTGACATTTTTTTTTTTTTTTTTTTTTTTTGTCATCTACGAAGAGTCTTCGAAAATATTAGTAGGTAGGTGTAGGGACAGTTAGCTCTAGATAACATTTTCAAGCAAAACTAAAAAATATACAAGAACAATTTCCGAATAATATAAACAGGATGCTCTAAAATTCCAATAACCACTCTTGTACGCAGAGAACAATTTCACCAATCATGAATTTCACCGATCTTTCCCAACAGATTGACGTGAAGTGAAAGGAAGTTGTCGGAATTTGACACCTAAGCGATTTGAGATGATCTGGACCGATTGGTGCGATCTGCCAATCTACGTGTAGCAGGTGTAGGGTCGCCCGGGGCCAAGAAAGTAGTCTAACCTTCGTCTCACTGGTCCACTCCGTCGATGCATTTATCAGCGAAAGTTCTCGTCTATCACAGACGGTTTATTGCGACCGGTTGCTTCGATGCTAATTATCGCACAGCTTTCGTTTCCATACAACTGACCAGGAGCCGGAGTGGGCGCATTGGAAAGCACAAGGCAACTTATCTACGATTGGACAGTTGCGGAGTTTCACGGTCATAGAATGCTTCAATTAGACGGGATTGGCAAACGTGTTCAATAACAGACCAGAATATCAGGATGTTGTAAATAAGTAGTACAAGTACTGATGAGGGTACGACCGTTACAAAGATCGGATTGTGGGTTCAAATAAGTTGCTTACGATGTGAACAACAAACAACCATAGTAAAATAGAAATGAGCTAAACCAAGGCCCCACCCCCACGAGCACAAACAACTGTAAAACATATGTACTTACAAAAGAAGACAATTTAAACACTTGTTACCTGAAACAAAAAATACATGACATTAGTAAGTTGAATAGAATGATTCATCTATATTACATTCAGTTATTAAATGATGGAGCATCAAGGATGGTCTTTAAATGGAAGGAATCAATATGTATTCTAGATATAAGCTAATAGCAAAGTATATTTGAATCCATCGAAAATGCATATGGATTTTGTTATTACGTGACACAATGGTTAACTCGCATGGAAAACGATTAAATCTACTGTAGGCATTGTGCAGGCAGTGTTATTGGAATTTTATAATATTTTAATTACTATATTAACACATATCCGAGTTCTGTGACACACAAATTATAGACTCCATTTGTGTGTCACTTAAGTACAACATAATCCCTAATAAATATAGCCGGGCGGTATTATAAACCTGTAAGAAATAGTAATATTAAATAACGCAAATATTAAACATTAATTTGTTACACACCTAAAAATAAACACATCTTATATATCCACGATTTTCCTAAGTAGAGTTGCCCCATAAGGCGATTACTTGATACTGCTGGTAGTACCGTTACCGTTCATACTACAGTACCGTATCACGATGTTACTGTACTACACATTTGGGAAGGGAACATAAGTGATAGAGCACTGAGCTTCAGTACTCGGGAACCCGAATTAAATTCCAGTCATCGCCAATGGATTTTATCCATGCGGCAGTGTCACGACCCTCTCAGCCTAGCCTGAATGAACGTGGACAACCTTTCGTAACAAGAGCCTAGCAACCTAGCAAATTAAATCAATCAATCCACAGCGCGTGATGGAAAGGGGCCAAAACAAATCAACCGTGATAGCCTAGTAGACAGGCATTTACGTGATGTGGTACAATTAATCGATTACAGTAGCCACTAGCCAGGTAAGGCCGGAAGCAATCTGTAGCCTCGGGTCTTCAATTACGATCCGCGGCGACACGACATAGTTATGTCATATCTTCCTGCAGTCCGGGCACTGGCAGTGCATCCGCCGAGATATTGATATGGACATTACATCATAAACGGCCTTCATTACACTTTAAACGGTGTTTAGCCCAATTTCAAAGTGTCTGCTTAAAAAGGGGTCAGTCTAAAGGACTTTCGTTGAGGATTTACTGAAAAACCTCATGTCGTCCTTTTATTTAAAAAAAGGTACACCGTGACAGTCCTCAGTAAATTTCTCAAGTTAGAGTTCATTTTACAGAGCCCTTAACGACAACAACAGAACTATTCACTTGTTTACTAAGAGACCAGAAACCAGCTGCTAACTGTGGTATGGCGAAATCATTATTGTCATTTAAATACACTGATATATTGGTGCACTCGATATTTTGTTATTCATTACTGTCTACAATCATCGTGCAAAGTGCAGAAGTGGCTTGGCGAGTCTACAGTTTACACATACATTTTATACTGGGCGTCTCTTGTCTGATAGCCAAGGTCGGGCGTTCACTCCAGTCCAGTCCCGGATCCAATCCAACATCCCCCACCTGGCAATCTGGTACTATGTCATTGTAATTGGTATAGGCGCCGCACCGTTACAAGAGAAAAAATGTATTGCAAACTACTTCATTAAAAAATCAAGACACGTCACCTACATTATTAATTACAAAACCGATTGATAATAAAATGTTATGTTTATGTAGCACCCATATAGCTATAATGTATGTTGTGTTCAGCAGAATATTCAAATGAATGTTTCCTACTGCAAGGTCAGTGGTCACCACCATTGAGGAAAACTGAAACTTCTAAATTAGAATCTTTTTTGTAAAAAAAATTAATAAAACTTTAAACATAGCAAAATGTAAAAGTCTTTAAATTACATTTGTGTACTGGTAACAAATGAATTACTTTCTATAAGTACTGTAGGTTTGCTTCAATAAAACCCAAGGATAAGCGACGACTTCATATTTCCGATCGTTAAAGTCTCCAGCTTATAATAGGCTTTTCCGAGTTCCATGTCCATTACAAAACCAAACCGAAGAATCTCACAGTTCAGTTTACAAACACCTTTCTAAAATGCATGTCGAATCACTCTTAAAATTTGAATTTTAAACGTATGAAATTCATTTTAATGTATGTAATACAGAACATGTACACAAAAGAGACAACTAGCATTTGATACAAAATTAATTTGTACACCTCCGTTCTTTAAGGTCCTCATCGATCCTCGTCGATATACTACAGAACCACAATAAAGATGAACATGGAAACATGTGGCAAACGATAAATACTTCGCTGAGCTCTATCTACACTGATTCTTTCTAACACCGACCACTTTTTACCCTATAATTTAAATTTAACATTTACATTAAACAATGCAAAAATTAATCAATAATAAGATTTTCTTTGTATGTTTGGCAACTTCAGAACCCACAAAAACCTTATAAATTTACCTAGCGGACTTTTTGTTCACAAAGTTTAAAATTAACCCCAAACACTGCACATTCTGCATATATTCCGACAAAACACGTAATCATACGACGTGATTATCGACAACTTGACCTCTCTGATAGCTACCAACGACACCTGATGTACGGCCATGGTCAGGGTGGGGGAGGATGAGGCTTTCACAGCCTGCGTGCTGTAGAGTGTAGAGTCAGTCTGTGGCAGTGTGCGGCACAAGCGGCAACATGGACTGGGTTAACATTGTATTGCTGACAGGTAGGGACAACCATTACGTTTCAAAATATCACTAATATATACAGGCTATGTTTTATAAAAGCAGTATTTTATAATTACATTTTATAACAAATATTGACACAAAAATTATTAAAAGTATAATTTAATAATTTATATTTTTACAATGAAACAATTTTTATTTATTGATCACAGGTTAATTAATCACTAAGTTGTTAATGTCCAAAGTATGTATTTTATAAATAACATTCCCTGCTTTGAATCAAAAAAGTTGTACAAAAATCGTGATTAATTGATTGATGTTTACGTAGTTTCTTCGTCATCTAAAGTATAAAGATTTTATGTTATTGTAAATATACAGTCCAAGGGCAGATATTTCTTTCTAACCCTTTCAGGGCCCCACCCCATGCCCTAGGTTTAATTTATTATACAGGCCATTCCAGTATTTTAACTCAAATTGCACTAATAATAAATAATAAAGTTAATTTTTTTTTCTTTTTTCCTGGAAGCCAACATGTGATACGATAGCGAAACGGCCGATGTCACCTCATGGCCGACAAGAGAGTAGTAAGGGTTTTTAGTTTCTTAATAGTATGTTACGTCGGTAATAAAGTTATTTTTTCCTGCCTGCGTAATCTTATATATATATTTATAACCCCTAAAGGGCATACTATTACTTATTTATAACAATGTCACCCTAATGCTCACACATGTAGAGGCCCCTACTCGTTACGTAGTGATAAAATCATAATACGGTATCGGTGAAATAATTACCACCATGAAATGTAGGGAAGTCCGAATGTAACATATCAAGGAAGAAAGTATTATTAAAAGTAGCTTATCATTGTGATAATATTTGCACGTTTAAGAAACAATATAATAAGAAATCTGTATACACTTTGTTATTTGTGTTGACTCTTTAATTAATTACAGTGTACTAAGTAATATTATAATATTTTGTAATAGTCCATAAGAAATATTAATTAGAAGTGTTTACCTTGGCGATGTTCAAATATGTACGATGTCTGATATAATACTACTTTTTGCCGTCGCACTACAATTAATATCGCAAATTACCATTAAACTACCCTGAACATTTTATGTGAAAAAAGCAAATTCCAAGAAAGCATTTAAATACCCCCGCCGCAGCAAACCTGCAGACTAAGCGAATTTCCATTTGAGTGATTGGATTTACACTAAAATATCTACTTAAAAATTTAACATTTATCTATAATATTAAAACGAAACAGTGTTTTTTTATTTCATGATTCTGAATCAACCACTCGACGGATTTTCATGATTTTTGTGTTGCAAGAAAGATAATTTTGAGAACTAGGGAATGTCGAAGCTATAATTTTAGTTTAGGGTCCCAGTTTTTTAGAAATTAAGTTTTAATTTTTAAAAAGTCTAGCAGCCGACGCTAAGATTCTAAACTAGCTTTTGGCATAAAATAATTTGCTTAACATAACAGCTGTAAACATTCAGCTTTTGTGTCTCAAATTCAGCATTTGGATAAAAATGTAAAGACATACTTAGGGTTGACTTATTTATACTATGTGTAATGCTAATCATTGATACGCTCAATTCTTCTGTAAGAGGATGACAGATTAATTAAATTATACATAGTAAAATACTAGGATGTTCAAATTATTTTTTAAAGCAATCTTTGTAATCTTCGATTTGTTTTAGAGCAATATAATTTGTTTTAACTAACAGCTGGTTAAATATAAACTATGGAACTATGAGGTTATTTTATTTACTCTTATTTTGTCATGATTATAGGAAATAAGTACGATAAGTAGAGATAATTAGACCACAGTTTAAAATCATTTAGACCAAAATCAATTAAACCACAGTACAAATCGAGGCTCTGTACACGAGTCTTAATAAAAAAGGATGAATGCAAATTATTTTACTGCTCCACTTTTCAAGGAAAGAATATAAAAATAAAAATGTTTACATGTTTTAATTCTTCATAGTAGCTTTTTGTTTACAATTAATGTTTGTCTGTTTTAACTTTGTTTGGATTAGGCCCGGAAATTTTGATGTCATAAAAATAAGATCAAGAATAATCAGGAATCACGATTTTAAAATACCACCACAACCTTAGCCGGGTTTTATACAAAGATAAACAGGTGGATGACATAGATTGAACACAACGTCAACATTGACCTAGGATACTGCAATTAGACAAACCATCCTTTTATGAAATCGTGTTCAGTTGTGGTTACGTTTGGGGGTGCCTAAATCAGCGATCCCCAAACGTGAAAATATCACTTTTATTTCAACTATGAATATATTGTACAGTAGTTTAAATTAACTAATATGGGAAATTACGATGTACATTTATTCAATGAGGGTGGGTAATTATGAAGGATAGAACTGATAACGGTATGGATAATAAACATTGACAATTAAGTCATTAGTTTTACTAGAGTGTTTACTTTTTATATTCCTGTTACATGTGACCAGTTCTTTTTTTTTCAAATGAATGTTATTTGAACCAAACAGCTGATTCAAAACAAACTGTTATTGTTTTTACTTTTCTTTGTTTACACTTATTTATTTAGCAATTAATGCAGTGAAATTGATATAAAAGGATAGGTGTGATGATTTATGTGTACTGTGAATTTTATTGGATATTATCGTTTTATTTTTGGCCGTTTCTATTCAGATCTACTGGGAATTGTGTATAGTAGTTGTATTGTAGTGATAATAATTATGGAAGAGGCAGGTATGCTATGGAAGGTGGTATCGTTGACTAGGTCTATACACTTCTCAATTGACTATTACTCTCTCTACTGTAGGCTACTTAAAATCAGTGTGCGTCTGTGTGAATCACCTGCAAATCTCACTTTAACGCTTTTCACATCGTAAACATTGCAGAATTGCTGTTTTATTGTAAAATTATCGCATTTAAAATGCATATCGTATAGGCCTATGATGGAATAAAAACATATTTGGTCACACAACATTTGTTTACAAGATGACTTTTCACATTAAAACTGCAAGAAACTTTGTCTTTATATGTGTAAACTAGCTGATCTGAATTGTACACGGTTTTAACTGACTACTAAATTCCCGTACGTAGGACGGGCTAACACCTCGTTTCCTATTAAAATAGAATTAGTTTAACAGGTACTTAGGTTTGCTGCATCAGGGAGGGTAAAACTGCTTTTTTTTGTAAAATGTTAATAGTTAGTAAGAAATAAAAACATTTTCCAAATTTGATCAAAATATGTTCATAAACAATCAAACTACAACAGTTTACTTGTTCTCCATAAGAATAACATAGGAATTAAATATTTACATTTTTTTTAATTTTCTCCGTAACCATTAGGCGCATAGTAACACTTCAATAAACTAAATTATTTGTTTTTTTAAGCTCTACAAAATGGTTTGGAAAGATTTTGCAAAATTTTATGTTTTTTGGGTCAAAAATGGGAAAAACCTATTTTTACCCCATAAAACCCCCCGTAAACCCCCGTTCCCATAGCCCGATCATGCTGGTTCGCGAACTCGTTCAAGTTTATCCCGCCTTACACCTTCAAACCAAATTTTATCAAAATCGGACAAAAATTACTCAAGTTATCGTGCGGATGGACACACACATATATATATATACGAACTAACAGATGGTAATATCAAAGATTTAATTGCACTCACCAAAACAACGGTAGAACAAAATTATTTTGAATTTAATTCGATGTATTATAAACAAAATGAAGGGTTAGCAATGGGTTCACCACTATCTGGTTTATTAGCCAACATTTACATGCAGCATATAGAAAACGAAAAAATCATTAACAATGTCAACCCTATGCTGAAGGATATCATATATTGGTACAGGTATGTTGATGACATCATATGCTTATTTAACATTGACAACCATACACCAAATCAACTATTGGAATACTTGAACACGATTTCAAAATCAATTAAATTCACATTAGAAGTTCAAAATTCATCTATCAATTTCTTAGATTTGACTATAACCAAAGAAAACAATTTACATAAATTTAAAATTTTTAGAAAGCCTACTGAAAACAATCTCATCATCCCAGCAAATTCAAATCATCCCTGGCAACACAAAATGGCAACATTCCATTCGTATATTGATAGACTTATCAACATTCCCATGAGTAACGAAGACTTTATTGAAGAAAAGGAACATATCACAAAATTAGCAAAGAGTCATGGATACAGCAGCAAAACCGTAGAAAAAATGATAAAGAAAAAAGCAGGCATGAAAAACCAACATGTCAAGAAAGAAGAAAGAAAACATGAATTTTTATGCCTACCTTACTCAACTACATTTAACAAAGCATATAGGAAAACATTTAACAACCAAAATTATAAGTTATCATACAGAACAAGAAACAATTCATTTGATTTAATTAACAAATTTTCACAGTCAAACAACAACGTATCAGACATAAAAGACAAATCAGGCATATACAAATTAAACTGCAGTTCCTGCTCAAAATTCTATATTGGCCAAACAGGACGAAATTTTCAAAGTAGATACAAAGAACATATTCAAGCAATTAAATCAAACAACAGAACTACACAAAAATCTACATTTGCAGAACACATACTTTCTACAGACCATACATACAAAAATTATAACGAAAACATTACCATACTAGACATTATTAACAAAGGAACCAAAATGAACATAAAAGAAAATTTTCACATATATAAACACTACAAAGAAGACAGAAACAACATTTTAAATATAGTACACACACAAACCACTAATCCTATATTTAACAAAATTATAAGTGTTAGAAAAACCAACAACTAAACATTCATTCACATAGGTACTAACAAAATTAACAGCTGTATTTATTCATAACATAATATTTTTGTTTGAAATTAGGTTAACACACTTGAAAATGTCCTTAGAGACGAAACATGTTGTGATTTATTAAATAAAAAAGAATATAAAAAAAGGGTACTCATGTTATTTTACATATTATTTATTAATATATATCTATATATAGATATATAAAAATTTGAAC